CCATTTTGCCCATCATTACCCCAAAATACACACACAGCAAAGGAGATGGCCAGATGGGCAAGTCAAAAGGAAGCCTTACTCAGCTTTCTGAGTGTTTTCTCACTGAATTCAGTGGACTTGGTGAAAGGAGGCAGCAAAAACCAGAAAGCAGGAGGGAAGCAAGATCAACAGCCACTGTCCCCAGAGCTGGAGGACTTTTCATCTCCAGGTCTAAAGGTCCTGAAGAACATGCAGGCTGAATTTGGATCTGATGCTGCAGCTTATTTCTCAGCCATGCTTATCTCTAGCTCAGACACTGTATATTGCAATGGCATTACTCATTGTCACAAAGGCTGGTTTGATTATTAGACAGCAGCATCCTTCCCTCATTACTGTTTATAAAAGCAGCAGGAGAGAGACATCCCTTTTAATTGTGGTGGGGGGTAAGGAACATACTGCATCTCTGGCTGCACTGAGTGGGATATGAGCTGCCAGCAACACAGCAACCCTCTAGCTTATGTTCTGCAGAAAAAGAGATTTTAGGGAGTGAGTATAAGCTACTCATGGCTCCTCTTTATCAGGGCTACTTAAACACTTATTTTGCATTAATTTCACATTATTCCTTCCACTACTACAACAATGCACCTGCACAGAAATGCCTGAACATGTGGATCAGTGAATATGTAAGCATGTTATATTCTTTGTGTGTATTTCCTCCCTATTCTCTGGCTGCTGCTGGATATCTGACACCAGCAGCAGAAGATTTATTGATCTGGTCATAACATATTAAGGCTGCTGAAGAGCAGATGTTAAAAACAGACTTCTTGGCATATATCAGCCCCTGGTGGTATTGGTCTCACTCATGTTCCAGTTTATTTATTGAAGCAATCGCTCTTCTCATTCTCTTCATTATCTTCCTTCTGGGCAATTCAGGCACACCAGAGTCAATCCCTTCCAGTCAGTCACTCCTTCTTGGATCATCGTTTTTTGCTTTAGCTTGGGCAACACCCGACAACTTTTCCTTCCTGAGAAGGAAAAGCCCATCCCACTGCTCATAAAAGCAGATGGAAATTTATCAGCTGCAAAAATTGATCCTGGCACAAATACAGTGAAAATAAAGACTCAGGGATCCTCCTAATTTGGTAATAGGCAGGTGCATAATGGGTCCAGAGAAGCCATCTGAAGGGGCAATTTCAATGATATGACCACATACAGCACCCAAGAGGCTGTGATGCCCCACAAGAGCATATCATGGCAGATGAGGAACAAAACACAGCCCTTTGACCATAAAAATGTTGTTTGTCCCATTTTATTACAAACAGCCACACACCTGTGAAATTCGTGCAGAGCAAAGGGTTCTTCCTGTGCAGGAGAGCAGCGAGGCTCTGTGCAGCAGAAAGGTGTGACCTGGTCCTTCTCCAGGAGACAGCCTTGAACACCTGGTGTGCACACTCCAAGGTGAAGGGTCCCTCCAGACTCCTGCAGCAGCACACGTTTTATTCTGCAGCTTATTTCTGCCAGGAATAGGGCAGCAATGCTCCTGGCCACAGCTTTGGTGTAGTAAAATCCAGAGGCCCCCTGACACCAGGGCCCTGGCAGGAGGAAGGCGAGTCCTGTTCCCAGAAATTCCTCCCAGGACTGGTTCTGTCGTCTATATATATATATATATAGATATAGATATAGATATAGATAGATATATATATATAGATAGATATATAGATATATATATATAGTGTAGGTGTAAAGCATTAAGGCACTTAAAACCATCTTCCAGAATTGGAATATGCACTACTTTAAAATAACTAAAGGAGTAAAATCTAAAGGGGAATTCATTAATGTATGAAAAAGATAACATTAAACCAGCCAGTCCAGAACAAAAGTTACTGTAATAATGGCCTCTTACACCACAGTGAGTGCAAACTCCAGCTTACCTTTCCTGCTGTTTCAAGCATTTGTTTTTTCCAGATCATGAGGAGAAATGATTTCACCTGCTGGAAAAACAGACATCCCCACAAACACCACAAGAGCTTGGGATGTAAGCTTTGGCAGAGAAACATTTTAACAGTGACTTAATTAGCTACAGCAAAAATTCACATAGGCAAAGAAGATGGTACTTAAGTTGCACCAGAGCCCTTCAAGCAGCACATTCACTCCCCCCCAAAAAATCCTTCATGGGCCCTGCTGCACTGAGCTTATTTTTAATGCTTAAGAGTTGTATCTCCAGTAAGATCCAACTTTCATTTTCCCCTTGTTTTACTTCAGCCTTACCTTCTCTCTGAAACAACCTGGTTAACGCTTTATATGAAAAGAACCACCAGAACTAACAAGTATTTCAACTCCACAGATACACAGTGAGGTATTTATCTCCCAAGTGTGCTGTGTCAGATTGTGGCTGACAGACTCAGGCAGACAGGAGGGGGCTTTGCACTGGTGTAATCAAGGTTTAAAAAAAAAGGTGTTTATCAGGCAAAAGTTGACACAGAACTATTGTAACTAGCTTGGAATAACGTTCCTTGCATCATAATATCAAAAATTATTCTGAACACAACCAGCCCATGGGAAATTGTGCCAAATCAGACAACTTGGTCTTTGCCCAAATACTCTGGAGAAAGCAAGCAGAGAGGGCTTGGACACAACATTTCTTTCAAAGTAAGAGCCACACTGACTCACACATGCAGATTTACTTGCAATGTACATTTTGAGTCACCAAACACAAAAACCTAACAGAAGTTCTGGCTTAGAGTAGTTAAGTGAATAACAGGTTCTAACAGCAGGTAGAGAGAGAGTCAGTGTGAAGGGGGCAGCAAAACCCTTGATTTCCCTCTGGAAAACAGCAGCTGGCCCCTAACCTCCAGCCAGCCCCAAAGCAATGATGCATCACCCTCTTCTTGTAGTGCTGAAAGATTTTGTTTTAAACAGGTTGGATGGGAATTTGAACGATCGTGATCACATGAATCAGTTCTCACACACCATATGATTACTCTTTCAGAAAAAAAATCTGTTTAGAATTAAAAATGCGGCAGTTCCTGGCAACAGAAGATTGCTTTTTCTTGTCAGGAACTGCATTTTGGGGAACAGAGAGTTCTAGTATTACACAGCAGCACTTATCCATACAGCACTGCCTGGAACCATCACAGGAGCCCAGGGAGTGCCTGAAGGCTGAAGAACAGGTGAAGAAAGGTGTCAGCTTCACCTCCTTAAAAGAGAGCACAACAATCAGTTTTATTAAGCATAAACAAATTTAATACTGTGGACAGTACTGCAATATTCAAGTGAAGCAGACACACACACACACACAAACTCCCCACCTCTTTACAAAGGAAAACAACACACATCACAAGGGGAGCATATGCACTACATGTTTTATTAAAAATGCAATTGTACTTAACTTTATATCAAACAGTTTTATCATAGGAATCAAAAATGGTGGACCAACGCACATGGTGCCAACATGCAGGACCTATATCAAACCACACAGGATGATCACAAGGAACAAGGCCACCTGGCAAAGTGGGATCTGATGCAGCCCAAATCTCTCAGTTCCTTTGGGAGGGGGCAGAGTTGGCCCCTTGCTCCCCCTGAGCAGCCCTTTGCCCAAGGAGCTCTTGGTTCAGGTGCACTGCCTCATCCAGCCTCCCTTCCTGCCACCCTGCCATCCTTGCCTTGTCCCCAGAGCTCCTCTGCTCCTTCCTCTCTTCCTTCTGATTCAAACCCACCATCAGTCACCTCTACCCATTCCTCAACTTCTCATGCCAGCAAGTCCTTAAATGCTCCACAATGCTTCTCTAATGCAGCAGCTCAGGAACAGCTTGGCTTGGTGCAAAAAGGAACAAACAAATCAAAACATCCCAGACAAGAGAGTTGTGAACAGCTGCATTCACAAAAGGTGGGTGAGGAAATCCATAAAAGCAGCTCCACATTCTCTCTCCTGGTGCTTCTTCAGATCTGCCTCTCCCAAAAGTCAAATGCTTTGAGCTCAGCCCAGCAGCACCAACCAAGATGCAAAATGGCCTTGAATTTTTTGTCTGTGCAGAGAATTTTTCAATATCAAGGGGCTGACCTAGAGAAGTATATGGGTTGTTAAGAGAGAACTGTTAATTACCAATACTATTTTAGTCATTAGGTCTCACCAGAGCATTACAAGTGAAGCTGGGAGCCCAGCAGTTATTAAATACCACAGGTTAGCTGCTGCTTCTGTCCTAGGTCTCAGGGTTCATGCTACAGCAGCAGGCCTGGCCTCACTCTTCTGAAGAACTTCAACTCAACTTGAGAGCAGGATAGTGGTGGCACCTCCATAGCCATTACTCAAATCATCCCATCAAGGATTTATCTCCTCTGCAGCTCATCTGGAGCCTTTATTAGAAAAGGATGGATTAAAATTAAAGTTAGCATCAGGACTGCTGTCACATTTTAGTAACAAGAATCAGCACACACAGCATCTCAGCTGAGAGACCACAGAATTCTGTGAGAGCCCCTGAGCCAGAGCAGGCAGGGTGAGGCTGCAGGAGGGGCTGAGGGCTCTGTGCCCCCACAGCCACTGCAGGAGTCCCTTCCCTGTGCCCTGCATTAACCTTGGAGCTGCTTCAGGGCACAGAGACTCCCAAAGCTTTTCTGTGAAGGAGAATTCACATGTGCAGCTTTCACTGCAGGCATTTCCTCCCTTCTGCTATGCAATATTCCCCTCTTTGAAGCTCAATTGATTTCCATGATCCCCAAGAGCCCACAGGAGCATAACAATCTAATTTCTGAACACAATGCAGAGCCCACGGTGCTATCAACCACAGTTTAAAGACTTCTCCACTTCAGGGCAAAACCTTACAAAATACTTTAATGTATATCTTTCAAGTTATGTTAGTTACTGTTTCTTTGGAGAACATGCTGAACTGGCTATAAAGCCACTATACACTAGTCAGGTGCTTCTAATACAATAGCTGAAAAACAGTAAAAAAACAAATTAATTGATAAGAAAACAAAAAGCAAGAACATCCATGATTTTATTACAAAAACACCCAGCAACTGTATTTAACACAAAAACAGTAACTGAGAGTCTCTTTTTATTTTTCTTTCAGTGTACATGCTCATTATTATTCCATTTAATTTACAGAAGGGCTATGTAAAATGAAATTAAAATTAGAGAGGAAACAAAAAGGAAGATTGAGGCATAGAATTTTCTTAGCAAGCAACGATCACAGGAGACAGCACAGATTGAACAGGGATTCAACAGGAGTGACACCTAGGGATAAAGGTAAACAGTAACTTTTTCCTTATCCATTAGATTCTCCATGGGGCTTTTTTGTTTGTTTTAGCAAAACGGTTTAGAGTATCACAGTATACAGGAAGACTAAATGGCAAAGAACGTCTCACACACACACACACACACATTTATCCCTGCTACTGGTCCAGGATCCCAAACTTCAGTTAACATTCGATTTCCTATCTCTCATTCATTGATAAACTATACAGGATTACACTGTACATGGAGTTAAAATTACAAAAATGTCATATTTACAAAAATCTGTACACACATAGTAAAACTCACAAAATTGTCATCTATGTATCACAAGTTGCGACACCAAAATATTAAAAATGGGATAAAATTATACATTTCTCTTGTCCATTTTTAAAAAGGGTTCATTATTTCAAAGACAGACCACCTATTTTCTCCCAAATAAGACTGGTAAGAGAACTAGAAACCTAAAGTATCCTCCTGGGATAAAATGTCGCGAGCAGCATCTCCCAACTAGAAAGAAGCCTCTATCCTGTCTGCTGGGGTGGGGTGTGCAGTTAGCATCTATGTACAGAAATGGTGAAACTACAACGAGGATGTCTTTGGCTAAACCTTTGGCATAAATTAAAATCATACATCAAAAGTTACAGAAAAGGTTATCTCGGTGATGGCGGAATTCCAGAATTTCTTTCTGAGATACCATTATATACAGCTTTTCTTTCTCTGAGGAAGTAGAGGAGGAATAAAGGATTTTGGAACAGAGGCAAATGAGGCAACATTATTTCTTCGTTAAATTTTTCACTAGTATGAAAAATTGTATCAAATCTTTTCATTAAAACATAATTCAATCATAGAAATAACCCCTTCCAGAATTTTTTTTTTTCTTTCGAAATTGCATATGAAAAAAATTAGTAAACCAGCCATGACAGAAAAAAATTGTATCAGCATATCAAGTACATATTAGTGCAGGAAGGTGGATAAATTTGATCCACTGTATAAATAAGCTTTATGCGCAGTGTACATTAAATAACCACCACACCCCACTCACACCCAGTACACAGATGCTCCTCAGTGAAGATAAACGTTTATCAAGTAATTAAAGTGTATGTAGTGCAAATGTTACAACCAAGTATTATGCACATGCTACTTGCTTGGTTTAAAGTTACACAAAGATGTGGTGCCTGAAATCATGGACATATATACATCCTTGTCACACTTGGTACAATGTCCTAAGCCACAGAAATACCGAGGTGTTTAGATCTATATATATATACACACACGTTTTCTTAAAATGTGACCACCACATCAATACAGTAACACAAACAGACTAAAATCAATACCTGCTTCCAGATGCTCCAAGGCTCAGAAAGTTTGTGCTTCTAATTCTTGCAGTCATTACGTGCCCCTCTTCCATTTCCCCCTTCTGCCAGCTGAGAAGGAGGGACAGTCTCTTCACGTCTGTGCTGCATAGGATGAGGGCAACGGAGAGGAATAAATGACGGCACAGGCACCTAAGCTGCTTTCCTCCATCAACAGTTCCATGCCCCATGATGAAGGGTTGAGAGAAATTTCCTCTCCACACCACTCCAGGGTGGAAAGGCTTATTGAAAAAAAAAAAAATCATAACGTGCTTTCCATATTATAAGTGGCAGCAAATCAAGGCACGCTGTACTAATTCTGTAGCATTGAGATTAGCTGACTTTGCAGGGGATGCTCACTGGGGAAGGTCCGACGTTCTCAACTGGCTGCTGGGCCGTGTGGGGCCATAGAGAGTAACAGAAGCTATGTGATTATTCTGCATCACCTGCAAAAGCACAGCAGGGAAAAGGGAAATTAAACTAAGTGCTACAATCCACAGAAAATCAGAAGTATTAAAATGGTGAATACAGAAGTGATCTGCCTGAAAGAAATCCCAACAACAAATGACAGCAACAAACTCTTGGCTAGTTCCTAAAAACAGTCTCTTGGATTTCCATGACACAACACCATCTGCTCCACCCAGCCATGTGAATGTATCTCCTGCTAGCATGAGTTCCAGGTGACAAACTTGAAGTTTCAGCTTCAACATAGAAATGTACAAGCTCAGAGAAGAGGTTGCAAAGTTTCCCTATACTAAAATTATACCACTACCAAGCACTGGCCTTTACTGCAATAGGAAGCCACTCATAGTAATAGCAAACTCATCTTCCCATGCTCAGACAAAAATAAAAAAGGTTTTTTCCTAACCTCAAAGATCATTCGCTGCAGTCCAAAGCAAAAGGTTGACCCAAATGGGTTAGTGTTGTTTGGAGATGATGACCTAAACAGAAAAGAGGGGAAGAAAGTTTAAAATGGGTATCTGAGGATCAGGAACATCTTAAGGAGGAATAACTACTCAGCCACATAAGGTGAATTACAGCATCTTTATCATGGCTTTCATCAAAAGAAAGTACTTCTACATTATGCAACACCATTGCTAGACTCCAAGTGAGCCAAAGGAAACTCTGATGCCACAGAGCCATTAATAACACTTGGGGATAAAGGAAAAAAAAAGCCACTAGTGACCTCTACAGGAAAACTCTCCTGCACTTAACTTGAACAGGAAGAACCCTAAAAAAACCCCAGATACACAGGAAGAGAGAAGCACCATGTTACTACACATTATTTTTGTGCAAGATCCTTCCCTTTGTGTCTCAACCTCCACCATATATATTTACTATATATAGTCTATTATTTATATTAACTAGATACTGTCTATTAATCAACTGGATTTAGCATATTAAGAAGATTAACCTATATGATGCTGAAATAGAATAATCCAAGTTTGATTAAACAGCATTTTTCAAGATCTATGTACGACTTTCTCCCAGTTATTTCTGGTGTTTTTGGATTGCACATTGACAATTTCTGTTGATTGCAATGAATTTGAGATTACAGCCAAAAAAAACCCTAATGAATATTTACCTTTTGTCCTTTCTTGTAAACTGGTCAGTTTTTCAAATTGCATGTCTGAGCCATTTGAGATGTGCTCAGTAAAGCGCTCTCTGGTTGAACTACTCTCTACAACACAGATGGAAGAAATAGAAGGGCTCTATGTCATCACTATTTCACCTTAGCTTTACTTCATTCACATGGCTTCTGCTCTAATCATCTCACTGGCATAACACAGGAGTAAAGGGGAACAAAGGGCACAATGAGTAAGGGGGGGGAAAGGAAAAAAATCAAAGTCAAAATCATGTGAAAGTCTGACAAGAATACATTAATTTATCTGAAATTGCTGTGGTATTTGCACAGTACCCATCACTTACACTTGTCCTGAGATAAAAATCATGGTTTCACATCATAAAATGATAACTCTGCAAACAGATAATGCCCATTTAACCCAGCAGCCACCTCAATGCAGAAACACAGGAAATTTAAGGGCTATTCTATCTTCAGTCAGCCTAGAGAACTGCAGAACTACATATGTTCATAAAAGACAAGCTTCTTCAGACAGACTGCTGTTGCACACGTTATGTGCATAGATACTGTGCTGTACCATGTCATGTTATTGAAATACTTTATAGAAAGGATAAAAACCCTCCACTATTTATTACTTATAAAGAAAAAGACTTTTTAGTGCACTGTTCGCTCTGAGATCTTCTCTGGATTTTGCATTTCAAGGAATTTTGGAAATGCTTTCACTCAGCATGTCAGTTTATTTCCTTTGAGAGCAGCTATCTCATCTTGTTAGTGGCCAAAAAAACCCTGGAACTTTAACCAGCAAAGTACAGTGGTAACCAGTACAAAAGTAACCAGTGCCATAAACACTCTTCCTCACCCTCCATTGTCAACCCAGTCCTTGCCAAGTAAAATAAAGAGAGATTTTTACCTGTGAAGTACCACTGGCTTCTCTACAGGGTGCCCCAGTAGATCCTGAATACTGTCCCACTGTAAATACATCAATGAATTTGTGTTAAAATGAGGCACAAGAAAACTCTTCTTTTTACTTTTTATCTAGGAAGAGTGCATGCACATTTGTTAGTGACAAACCTATTTGTCAAATAAACTTGAAGTATTTACAGAAGTATTTTGTGACTGGAGCTATATTCAGTAATGGAACTGTCCACTGCTAGGGCTAGTAAACTATCTTAAGGTACATTCTTATTTTTGCCTAAAAATAGTTTGGAATTAGAATTATTAATATAAAAATTTCTCTTGGTCTTATGGATAAAGTGTTGCTGGAAAGTCTTGTGGCATTTTAGGGGCACCTCAGAGAGCAAAGCAGCTGTGCGAAATTTCAACAAAATATCCTCTTATATACCTCTGCAGAGAGGAAAAATAGCCCCACTGCTACCTCTCCCATAAGTCTTTCCTTGATTTAAGCAACAATATTGGAGAAGAGGAAAGCTGCACTGTTTAATGACTGGGAAGTGTCCAACAGTTTTCCTCACTTGAACCAGACTACAAGCTGCAGTTTCACACACAAGTCAAAGCACTGAAGGGAGTAAGTTAATTCAAGTCAAAAAGCATAGAATGGTATCTTCTGGAGTCAGATTGCTGACTCCAATTTTTCTTCCCAGTATGGGAGCCAAAATTCACCAAGGAAAGCCTTCATTTGGCACCCCAGGAACCAAGAGAGCAGCAGTGACCCTGGCTGAATGTTGACTGCAGGGACACTGATGAACAGTTTTTGAGAAGTTTTTCAACTTAATGCAGCTGTCAAATATGCAGCAGCACCTGCCCAGCTGGGAAGTTCATTTAGGTGGAAAGGCTGTGGAGCATTCAAGGAGTCTGCTGTCACCAGGAGATGTCACACTGGCAGTGACATTTCTGGCTGCTGCCTAAGAAACATCCCATTACTGGTGCCCTTCAGAAGAAAGTGGAAGAGCACTGGACTCTCCTGTTCAATAGTCCATGTCTTCAGGAGCTATGCTTAGTACAACAGCTCTCTGAGAATTCTGTTTAGGAACACATCTCCAGTTAACATTCAGCCACCACTGCTGTTGTTTTCCCCTATCACTTATTTCACATTTCTAGCTGCAGCTGTGCTAAAATGCAAGCTATGCCATAATGTAGTAATTTAGTTTACCTGAAGAGTGTTATTACAAATGAATTCAATCATTTAACATACCAAAATATTTAAAACACAAGATACACACTAACTTTTGGCCTTCTACTATTCTACTTTAAAACAGCATGATACCACTGCTGTAATTTCTTTGAAGTGTGCTCTAAAGTTGGCACGAATCATTTAGATGGTTTAAGAAAATCAGAAAAACACTCAATTCTGCACAGGCTTACCTTGCTGTATGTTGTACATGTTTCTGTCTGTGAATCAGCACTATCTATAAAACAAAAACCAGAAAAGCTTTTATAGTTTAAGCTTGAACAGTCCCCTATATAACCCTTTATTTTGGCATGTTAATTCAGATGGCAGGAGACACAGGAGCATTAGATCAGGTAATACACAAATTTATCAGCATTCACACTAGCAATCAGAATTGTCAGTAACACTGACTAAATGCCAGTTAAGGTGATAAAGCAAACCTCCCTATTTACAGCAAGTCCCAACTTTAAGACTATAAAAGCTTAAGCTTTAATCTTAGATGGAAGAACACCACTGTAGAAGAAACCCCATCTCTTTGCACTAAGCTAACAGCCTAGCACAGCCACTGCAGGAGGTACCAAGATGTGCCACTCATTAATCCCAAAACACTCCACTGCACTTGGAAGGAAAGCTGGCTAAAAGTGACATCTGGAGACTCAGGAGCTGGCAGGCCTGAGATCAGTGAAAACATCACTCTTCCACAATCAAGAGGACAGAGAGCTTGAGAATCACAGCCTACCTATTAAAAAATAAAAGGACAGCATTGCATCTACAATTACAGCCTTTAAACAGAAAGTGTTTGCTGGTGGTTTCAAATACTGTCATACATATCTTACATACACATATTTGGGTACTCCTAAATACTGAAAGCACATTCCCAAAGCAGTGGGAATGGACCTAGACATTAAAATGTCAAACAGAGCTTTAAGTCAAGTTAAAGACCATTTGCTCCTCTGTATTTTTCCCTCTCTAAACATGCTCTCTTTGTGCTGAGAGTTCAGTGCCTGTGCAACTTGAACTCTGGCTCTTAATTTATCATCTGAACTTGAAGTACAAAAGGGAACTAATAAAACTGCATCAGGCACTGCCACCAGAGGGAAGAAGACAGGCTCTTCAAAACTGTTGTAACATCTGTTCACAACTTGTTGTATGTCCTGGACATAAGCTAGAGGCCAGAAAAGCTGGTTAGAAATGCCAAATAAACAAAAAAAAACACATTAAGAATAAATTCATAATGCTACTTGAGGTAAATAAAATTAATCCCAAATTAATGCTTTGAAGTACAGTAACCTAAGGGAAAATGATTTTAGAAGCAAGGATGTTCATGCTCATTTTCTTGGCTGAAGTACAAATCAACTTTCATATACACAAGCCTATATACACAAAGATTGTTTTTCCAGGTTTTTAATCCTCCATATGCTCAAACTGCTGTGACAGCCACAGGAGGACTGCACCTCACACAGCAAGCAAAGTGCTTGCAGTAAATACCAATCAGAATGAGGAAAACATCCCTGGCCAAAACCTAGGCAGCATCTGGTATTCCCTGGATAATCCAAATACCTTCCCAGTACACATTTTTTCTTATGTTGAAGAAGTCTACATCAATCACTGTGATCTTCAGACAGGGTTCCCCTACTTTGCTGAGATTAGTTACTGCACAGAGCTGGGAATATCTTAGTACCTTGCCAAATCAGCACTACTGATTATAGAGTTATTTTTTTATAGATTTATAGATTTATTTTCAGGTGAACACAGACATACTTTGTCTGTAGCACACAGAGCCAACATATCTGGATGTTTATTTTCATTCCCAAATAAACCAGATTATATTAAATACCAGTGGACTGGACAGATGAGCTCAGACTAACACTGCCTTACAGATTTTGAGCCTCTAGCTACAAGGTAATTGATTTTAGCAGAGCAGCAGCATTACAGGATATTGTGATGCTGCAGCTAAATATTTGCATGATCCAAGTAAGTGAAGAGGTAGTGTAAGTAAAATCAGAGAACTGCTACCTTGCCCTGAAGTGTCTTTTCCACTTAAATAGAAACCTAATCCCAAACTTCTTCTCTGTCTCAGTGACTATCACTCTTAGCATCCTCTGATAATGAAGGACAATTAGAGACTGATCCCAGCTCCCCTTGGAGCATTCTGTGCCCCTGCAGCAGGACAGCAGGGAAATGCTCACCTCTCTTAATGACGAGTGGAATCTTGAACTCACAGCGATGGTAACTAGAAAGTGAAAATTGTAAAAGCTATTAGAGAACAGAGAAGCCAAGAAACTGCATAGCCACAGACTTAGAGCTCTTAATAATCCCTTTCATGAAAAGTCATATCAATAATAAAATGAAAGTGATGATCTGTGATACCAGATTAAGTTCTCAGTTAGATTTTCTACATCAAAAAAGCAGCAGCCTGGGAATGTCCTAATGCAATTCTTTAGAGGACACAAGAAGTCCTTCAGCATCAATTACTCTATTGTTACACAGTGGATGGAGAAATAGTTAGCTATGAAACAGCACTATAGATTTCTCTGTCATTAACTGCTTTAATCAGACATCCAATCACTAACTCATACTCCTCCTCTAACGAGTTTACACTTAGTAAGTACTGAAAATATGTTCAGAAGATGAGATTTTTAAATCACTAATTGAAATCATGTTAGGAAGGAAACAGAAATGTAGCTACCAGAAAATGGGCACTCTGGCTAATACATAATTTTCCTCTATCAAGAGTTTGCACATCACACCTGGATCAAGACCTACCTTACCTCATTCACTGCTTTAAGACATACTTGCCAGTATATATAAAGGAATTTAATAGTAAAAAGAAAACACAACTAAAAAATGTTACTAATGATGTCTGCAACCTCCACAGGTTACTAGATACAATATATTTTCTAAGTCTCTTTGATGTAATTCTATAAAGAGAATGTAAGATTTCCTTTTCAGTTGTTTTAATGTACTCTTTCATAGATAAGTTCTGTACACTCACATGTTAAAGTTGTAATGACCAGGATAATTTGTATGCAGGACAAATTTCTTCACCTTGTGAGTGTTTGCATCAAAGAGAATATCCTGTGGAAGACAAAAAACAAGATGAATGATGACAAAAAACAATTTGGGTAGGAAGGGGCGTTCCCTAAACTAACCTGAGATTACTTAAAATAGCCCCTGTATAGAGTGACATACATTTATCTCACTGAAACTGAATCAAATTATGAAAAGTAGTATTTGAAAATAAGACTATTTGTAAATTCAAATAACACATTTCCTCCAGCACTCAATTACAACTGCAGCTTCATTTGTTAATGTTGGCAAGTTTTCTGAGGAGGTCCTGTTTTTCTGCATATTATTTACAGTAATGTAAACTAAAGCAAAACAGCTGCAAGCAGAAAAATGAAGATGTAACTACACCCCACAGCTCAGCAAGCTTTCACAACTGATGCTATGGCACACTTGCCTCAGTTCTGTGGGACAGGGGCATGGATCTCAGGAATAAGAACTAGTTACCTATGCATCAGGTACTACAGAAAAAGGAGAAAACCTAAGAGGCTGACAGAGTGCAAAGAGCCCTCCATCCACTGGTGGAGATAAAGTGCTGCTGATTAAATTTGTAAGGGTTAAAGAAAGTCAAGTGAAGCTTTTCATATCCAGAGATTCCTAAGGCAGCAATCGAGTTTTGCAGCCTCTCATTTCCCACAGCCTTTAGCCTCCTGAAAGGATTGCTGTGTAACTAAAGCAGAAGTTTACATGAATTGTTTAGTGAAGCTTTCCACTCACCACTCCAAGTGTGAAATAATTGAAGAAGTAGTCATTGCACTTTGATGGGACCTGCTTATGGGGCGAGGGCGAATGGATTTTCATCTGCAAGAAATACACTTTTCAGATGCATGCAATAATGCTTAAAGATGAATGCCTTTAATAACAACTCTACATTCAAACAAATTGCTATAATCTCATTTGAAGCTTTTGTTCAACTAAGGAAGATACTGTGCTTTATGACAGGACCATCACCTGCTTGCAGCAGGCACAGCGACACATCAGCTTTTTCAGTTATCATAATTAAAGGGCTTACTTACATTATGCTGTGTAAAAATGTTAGGAAAAGATCAAAGTATATGCTGAGATTACTTTACATACATTATAAGTGGAAAAAAAAATAGGCAGCACACACTTGCTAAGGCACATTTGGGATACAAAAGCACTCCCATTTGTAACTATTCTTAATCCAGTTAACATTACACAATTTGATTTTTAAAATAAATTTAAACAGATTTGCATCAATTTAGATTTTAAAAAAGCTTCTTAAAACCCATTACATAATGGTTCAGCCTGGTCTATCATGTCAAGCAGTATGCTGAGCACTTGTAATTTGTGCTACATGGCAGTTCAACTTCACTGACCTTGCCAAACATGAGCACTATGATGAGACTGAGATACCAATGAACAAAGCCTGTGCCTGAATGAATTCCCTCACCTTGTCTTCAGACTTGTAGAAGACTTTGTGTGGAGAGCCCAAGGTGCTGAGCACATCCTGGCAGGAATCACCGAAGTACACGCAGCGCTCGAATACCCGCATCTTGGCATCAGCTAAAACACCTGGGCCACAGCCTGAGGAATGGAAAACAGCTCTACTTGCATCCTTGCTGATCACAGAATACATCACTAAATCAACACCAAAAGGTTAGCACCATTCCTCTATTTATCATAAACCAAACAGCTCCATTCCTCACAATTTAACCATTTACTTTGCAACAGTGTAAATACTTCTTATCAGAGCAGTGCATGTGCTGATTGTTGCATGGCTCCCCATTTCCACCTCCAATTTCAGCCATACTACCTTTCCTTCCTTGCCATTCACATGGACATGACTTGATTTCCCAGCCCATCTCAATTTGATCAGCTGGCTATTAGCAGTAAATACAGGAATTATTTCTATCCCTAGAATATTCTACTTTAGCTAGAGATTTATCTCCAGCTAAAAACATCAAGTGCATGAAGTGAAATCCCTCACCCACATTAACTGTATCACAAAACACACATTCTTTACTCAAGATTCCCATAACTTACTAAATCAACAGCAAGTATATCCCTGTGCAAACAACATTAAAGCAGATCTTATTGAATAACCATTACACAGATGAATTGCTGGTAAATGTTACCAGATGTGAGGAAATGGAAAGATGCTGCAGTTTGTGAGCCCACTTGCTTTCAGGAATGCAACATCTTACATTTACAAGAATGCAAGGACACATATGCAGCAGTTACTGCAAAGCACAGGATGTGCTCTAAATACACACTTAGCTTTGCTCACTATGCATTATTTATGTAGCTAGTTACCCACTAAAATAAATCAGGAAAATCCAATTCACTCCTCCTTGTTTTCTTAAGCAACAGTAACTGCAAATTAATACACAAGCAGAGAAACTTGAGCTAGAACAGGTGTGTAATATATTTTACAAGAGTTTCTACAAGTTTTGCAACATAAGAACAGCACGTGTCCAGATTGCCTCTCTGCAAGTTTGTCTGAACATCAGTGATATTTTAATAATTATTTTATTAATTGACAACATTTCCTTTAAACTGCATGCATATACATTTTTAACAAAACTTGACACTGTAAGTGTCCAATTTCTCAAAATCATTTACATAATTATGATGCTATAGCTAACTCCTTCCCCAGTACATGAGGCTATATGTTCTCTGCACTAGACAGCTCTACCTTATCTTCCTCTGTAATAAGAGAAGCAAAGTAAGTTGAAAATATCTGCTCCTTTTTTATTCTTCATCTATAATTTTCTTTTTTCAACTTTTGCATATTGTGGGTGTATTCCAAATGTTTCCTCAATATACATAGAGCTAGCAATCAGGACAGGTGAAAAGCTGAGCCTCCTAATGAAAATTGTTAAAAATTGTTTTTCTTAAAAACATTGTCAAGTCTCAAGTTACAGTAACTGAACAAGACTCCTTTGCAGCTGTTAAATCTGCCCTAATTTCTAAGCACCCTCCCATCTCTGAAAGCACATAAAAAAGAGAGACTCATCAGCCTCTCTTCACTTTCAGCACTGTCTCCCACAGTAAACGAAAACAGAACTGAATGGGAAGTGCAGTTTAATGCTGCAGCATTAATGTAGTCACTTGCTAGCATTTTTAAAAGCCTTCCAGATTTAATCACAAAAATATCAACACCATACAGCTCCCTGGAATGTCAGAAAAAGCACACATACACAAGGTTTCTTGGTTTGTCATGGGTTTTTTTAGTGATGTACTGGGAGCAGCGATGTGTTTTCTTCTACATACATCTGGAGACAAATTCAATTTCTGCAAACATATTCTAAGGACTTGGAACATGTGAGGCCTCCAGTTCCCAGTAATTTCTCCAGGGTTAGGAAAACGCAGCATTGAGCAGGTTCATCTTCAAAAGGATTTAACTGGCTTTTGTTCCAATAATTCAAAGCGAGGTAGATAGAACACTTTGAAATCCCTTACTAGATCATCACAAATAACCTGTGCTTAATTTACACAGGTTTACCCTTTCCCTGAGGGGAACAAGCACTGCAATGTTCTGAGTTTCTCCAATACCTGCAGTGAGTAGGCGAAGCCGTAAACCTGAGGGTCCAGTTCCATCACGCAGAACATCAACGTTCTCAGCATACACATTCCCAAGGAAACAGCTGAGAGGCATCAAGGGAGCCCTGAAACCAATCAAACAAAATGTGCACAGGATTTGCTTCACCTTCAAATTTTCCTCTAACAAGCTGGTACCAGTTCACTGGAACAGAGCACATTAATTTTGACAAAGCCGCATGTAACCGAGACTTAAGATTAAAAGTTGTATTAAACAGAAGGGTCAGAAAGTGTGGGGGAAAAGGAAGAGGAAGCACTCAAATGCAAGGTCTTTACCATTGATGAAAAAACCAGCAAGTTTCAAAGACTCCAGGAATTAAGGAATTATAGAAACTGTACCTAGGCTTTGGATATTGCGTATGAGGAAATGTCAGCTCAGATTTCTCTCAGGGAAAATGAAATTGTGGAGTGTTTAGAGCTAACTAAATTCTTATCTAGGTATATCACCCAAATGCAGCAAAAGAGCTTTCTCTGTGATGCTCCCACTGCTCTTTGGAAGGTACTTCATAGCCCAGAACATGAAATCAGTTTGTGCAGGTACACCCAAGACAACTGTGCTTCTTTACTAGGGAAGTTCTCAATTTAATTCAACACCAATATTATTTTAGAAAATAATCACAGTCCCAAGTGAGATATTTTTAATGGAAAGCCTATTTTCTGTGTATCAACCTGTATGTGCTCCCTAAAATTCCTTGTTCTTGTGCTCCTCCTCTGGGTGAATGACAAGCTAGAAGTTGGGCTTTGAGCTCTCTCTCACACACACAACAGAGCCCCATGCAACAATCAGTGCTTTCACTAAAGCTCACCATGTCACAGATGGGCACAGACAACAGCACTTTTCTCAAGTGCACTTATTTCTAATTAAGAGACAATGTCTGCATAAACTAAGCTCCCTCCCTTCTGAGCAGTAATCCAAGGATGTGTTTATCTCCTGGCCTTAAAACTCAGCTGTCTCTGAGAAAAATACCCTCTTATCACTTGGGGTATTTCTAAGATTAGGTATCTTGGAATCCTAGAATGATTTGGGTTGGAAAGGACCTTAAAGAACACCAAATTTTAGCCCCTCTGCCATGGGCAGAGACTCCTTCCACTAGGGCAGGTTGCTCAAAGCCCCATCCAGCCTGGCCTTTAAGATAATAAGCTCAGTCAGGTATCTGCAAATCATTGAACATATGGCAGATTATGTATATGGCATATTTTATTAGTTTTGTTTAGCAAGAGAGTTTAAGACCCTTGATAGGGCCCTCCCATGACACACATATTCTCAATATCCTACAACCTTACAGACTGCCTACACCAAGTCTGATTTGCTTAGGAAGAGGTCATCAGGTCATCAGCACAAACAAAATCTAGAGGAAGAACAGCCTTAACATGTGTTACTAAACCCACAGTGTTCCCTCCTTTAATTCATTTTCAGGTCAACTGAACTTGCCTACTACAGCTGAACCGAGCTCATTTTACAGCAACATAAATCAAACCAACATTTGATTATAAGAGCTGAGGACAACACCTACAGAAATCTAAAGTATCTAAAGGCATTCTGAAGATCCAAAGTGAACTAAAAAAATATACTATTCTATTTAGCAATGGCAAAGCACCAAATAAGTGATGGAAAGAGCAGGAGCAGCTGCACATACTTGGTGTCCTGCAGGCTGTTCCCGTTGTAGATGTACATGCGTTTCACAGTCGCGCCGTGCGGGATTTGCAGAGAGGCCAGACCATGGGCAAAGTTAGGCTGGGGAAACACAAAATCACTCTTGTTATACACCACAGCAGACACTTCAGCTTCAGAAGACACTTTCAGACACTTCAGGTCAGAAATTGCTTTAGAGATGCTGTATATGCTTACCAATTCAAGCAAGTCTGCAGCAAAAGACAAGGGAGCAAAACAACAGAAAACCCAGCCTTCTAGGTGGTGTTTCTATTCCACCACTCCTGGATTCCTGAACTGGGGTGAAATACTCAGCATGTTTATTCATCAAAAGATGCCACTAGTCTGACAATTAGTCACTGTGTGAACTGAGAATTCAAGTTTTTCCTTGGTTTGATCATGGCCAGCTAGCAATTTCCAAGTATTTGTACTGATACACTGTATTTAATGTCTAAAAAGTCATCTGTCTTAAAGGAAAACTTCCTTTTTTTGTCTCCCACTGCATTAATTTCTGCCTTTTAACATTTTTGCTGGTTTCCAAGATGCCTTATATGATGAACAGAAACTTGTTCATTAAATAGATTTTCCACTCTTATCCCCACATTCTTACACATACTGTTTTGACATGGATTTGAGTGCTCTCATCAAATAGAAAGCATGTTAAGGAAGTCAGATTGACTCTTACTGTACTAGAAGAATGAATTTCTTTCAATTCTGAATGTGACAGGACATTCAAGACCAATAACATACTTTGTTGTCACCAGACAGAAAAAAACCCTATCTTTGTCACAAGCAGTCAACAAAAACAAGATGCACAATATGCAAACTATTACCTGGTCTACTTTAGCAGGCATCACATAAGGTAAACACACACACAAAAAATTCTTAGGAAAAACATTAACCTAGAACAATAACTTTCAGTGCTGTAGATATTAAGAAAGGAACCTCCATTACTTAGCAAATCTAGAGATGTCCCGATTTCAATTCTCATCCTGAATTTGCCTGGAACATTAATACCTTTTGCTTCTTAAAGCAGTCAGACTTCAGATTATTGAAGTGAGCAAAGGTTTTTGTGTTCTCACCTGCAGCTTGTTTCCAGCTATACAATAAACTCCTAAGTTTTCTTCATAGTTTTTCCATTTCCATAAGCAGAAGATTACACTGCTTTGCAAAGTAGCTTAGCATTCCTATATGATCTTCCCTGAATTTGACAGATTTTGACAGATTCAAATTTGACTTCACTCTGCAATCTTTTCTAATGTTCCTCTCTAAAAACTTCCACAAAGACTTGTCTTCCCTGTGGACTGTTTCATACTGCTATGTTTTCAAAACAATCCTACTTTTACCTGTTCCTGGGGAGACTTTGGCATTACACTCTTTGCAAATAACATTTTACTAACCTCACTAGAGCAACTGAATGAGACACTTGGAGAATGTAAAATTACTTTCTGCACTGTTCCATCAGTTTGATTTTAACATCTTTTAGATAGTCCTGCAAGGAGCAGGGAGTTGGTCTCAATGATGCCCCTACAGGTTCCTTCCGACTTGAAATATTTTATGATCTTTTCAAATCTTTGGTGAAACAATTGACTTCCTCAGTAGTTTGGCTATTTCATTCACCAATGCCCTGGGAACTCTTGCATGAAAAGAAGCTACTCTTTGTTGGGGCATTCTTTTTGTTTGCCTTATTAGGCTTCTATTCACCTTCCAATCTGAAACCCAACTGACCTTCACTACTGCTGAACAATAACTTCCCCTGGTTACCCCCTGTGACATGTCAACCACAACCACTAAAGCACTAAGCTGTGACAAAGAACATGTGTCATCATGTGGGTTGATTTCTTCTTTGTTTTGGCTCTTTATGTGCTCCTTTATTTTAATGCTTTTTAACGGGTCAATGCAGATGAGACAACTGAGAGCATTTCCACCTTCACACAAACCAAGTTATACATACATTTTCATTAGTACAGAAGGAAACCACAGAGGACCTGATCTTGTTTCCACTTTAGATGGGAATTTCCAAAGATTTCAGAGAATGCAGTAATGCATTTAATTATTCAGTAACTCATCCAAACATTTGGTGAATATGCAAACAGGCATTACGAATAAAACTCATTCATTTGGCTTGCTAGAAGCACTCATACTGAAGGACACTTAAAGAAGAAAATGTATTTTATGAAGTCTATCCTACTTTAGTTGCATAATCACTTCAATGAGATTCAAAAATATCTGATAAAAGAACAGCCTCCCAGTAGATTGCTTAATATTTATGTATTTGCATAGACAGCACTCATATTTTTAGACAACTCCTTTTACCAACAGAATTGCTAGTCCCAGTTCATGATGCAAGCAAAACCCCTAATCATATGCCTTTTGTCAACAGGAAGTAAATTTTTAACTTTGGGATGGTTACATAGCATTAATAAGAACAAAACAGAGGAGTTCAATTCCTTCCAAAATACTGGTTTCTTTTGTTTGCAAAAGACAGCAAGACACAATGTAGGTGATACTCTGCAAGTACCACAGAGGCAAAAAGACCATCCATTAACTAAGAATGATTGCTGACCTCGTACTTCGGGGTTTCAGTCCAGGAGTCCAACTGAAAAGAAAACGACAGTCCTCTGAAATTGAGGTGAAAGAGTTGCTCAGCTGAGTTATACACTAGAAGGGAAAAGAAAGTAAAAACAGAGTTACCAAAATAATCTAAGACTTCTCCAGTTCATATCTAACAGCACCTTCATCACCTCAATGAATCTCAGAACGCAGGAGGAACACAATTACACTGGACCATAACAGCTTTGCTTTTAATTTCATGCAGTAAAAATACAGCAATAAGGGAAACCATAGATTCATTGCAGTTCCCTCTGCAAGCCTGCAGGCACTAACCTATCCCTAACAATACAATTATACCTTAATATCTCTAAAGTAGTTTGAATAGCCACTGTTGGTACAAAACAATTCTGTTCATTGTTATGTAAAACATTGTACAGTGTCAACCAGAAAGGCTTTGAGAGAGGTGTGCACAAACACTGATAATTTCCTCTTTCACACATGGGGAGTTCAAAGGAGAGCTCACCCTGTGACCTGCATTTCCACCTCTCCTCCCAAGAGGAGCTCCCATGCCCCAGTGAGCTCCTGCATTCCCGGGTAACACTGACACAGCCCAAGGAGGAAATGCTTCAGACACACAGGTCCTAGACCATTTACACTGATAATTAAAAATAGCATCACCAGAAACAGCAGCCAACCAGTCAGCTCCCACAAAGAGCACTAATAAATTAGAGCACGCACAGACTTCCAGCTGTCACCACATCACGAGATGTCCTGATTCATTGCAATCAATTGCACAACATCAACTATGAAAACAATAACTGTCGTCCCAGTACTTACTCTAACAAGACATACTGTTTTCTGAGACTGTGGAAAGATTAAAAAACAATCCCAGAAGACTGAGAGCTTGGGAACTGTTTTAGGATTGATTTTACAAACTCCAACCTGTGCCCAGTAGCCACTGGGGGAACAGAGTGTTCTAGCAACACACAGGATCTGACAGCTTGAAAACACCAGAGGCTTAAAACAATAAAGAAACCCTCTAAAAGAGAAGCTGCTTTCTTCCACTTTACCAAAGGAATACCAAAGGCTCAAAATTCCCTTTTTTCTTACAATGTTAAATTTAAAATGACATAGCATAGAGAGAAAATGCATATAAAGAAATATTTTATTCCCTCCCTCCCACAATGTCTTTCAAATGTTCAACTTAAAAGATGTATCACAGGGTATCTGGACAATGCCAGGCCACCCAGGATAGAAAAAAAATAGTTGAGCAATAAGCATTAAACTTTCAAAAGTTATCATTTGCCTTTTCTACAGAATGTGCTGGCTAAGAGTCTTTTCCACGCTTGTCACTGAAAGGAAAACGTGTGGAGAGAGGGAAATGTTTTGATCGGCAGGAAAATTATACAAATCTCTCTCATGTGATAAATTATGATACATCTTTTCCAAAGCCCACAGCCAGCTGGAGAACTATTTTTCCCCTAGTCATGCCAAGTGTGATATCTGATTATACAAATTGCATCAGTTCCCATCCCCTGCAATGTTTGTTGATGCTTGGGTTTAAAGGGCAAGGAGTTTTTTTATTCTTGGAAAGTTCTCTCATGTCTCCCTCAAAACCATAGATCACAACCACATGACTGAACAAGGTAAGGATTTTTTTGTATTAATATTTTAATTTTTTTTTTTATCACACAGGTACCCTGCAAATTCCATTCAAAATTGCTGACAGAAGCAAAAAGACTGCTTCTTTGCTGCTGCACTCTGGGTTGAGGATAGGGAGGAGGTCTGCCTTCCAGGAAGGCAGCAGAGTGTGACCAGCTGGGAAATATTTCTGTAGAGCTGACAGGACAAAACCACCAACACCAGCAAGGCTGCAAAATGGACACAGCTTAACTAAAAGGAGAGGCAGATCCAAAGTCAATTCTTACTGGTATCAAGCACAAGACTTCTCTGGCACCTTAGGGGAAGGTGAAGTCAGAGAGAGCCAGAGCACAGCAACGCCTCCATGCTTGCAAGGCCTTTGGTAGGTGGGAAGGAGGACTTTTTCTTCTACCTTATGACTTGAGTCCAGCCCCACAGCCCTGGTCCTTGCTGAATGGCACTTTGGCACAAAGCCACATCCATGAGGACTCAGGACAGGATGTGGTTTCAATAGAGCCACTGGCAAAAGCAAGCCCTTCCCAGCAGGAGGTCAGGTCAGAGAATCATGGAAATGTGGGATAAAAATCTTGGCTTTGATGAAGCTGTTGACCTCCAAAGTGGTTGTATTTCAATAAAGCCCCATGACAAAGGTACTGCAATGTTTCAAACTAACATTAGCCAAAAAGTAATGAAGCTGATTGATTTTTCTGATGACTCTTCTTTTTTAAAACCACTGATCTGGCAAAACCAAAAATGCTCGCTGAAGGTTGGTTTCAACACAAAACTGTTGCTAACCTTTTGAAATTTATTTTGAAACTAGCACTGTATCCTGTTGCAGGAAAGTTCTGCTGCAACCACCTTGGTTTGAAGTGAAAGATAACATTCTGAGTGAAATTCTAGTGGAGGTTAGTTAACAGAGATAAAAACAAAAGTTTGAAGTGCTTGCATTGGTGGTTTGGAGGAGCATTAGCACAGAGAAGTAAAGGGGTGGTTATATTCCTTTCATTCATGAAACCTAGTATTTAGTGCTTTGGTCACATTAAGAGGAAGGTTTCTCCTCCCATCCCAGCTCCAATTTTTATGGGACATGAAAACACCATCACCATCCTTCCCCACGCTGAAAACCATTCTCCTTCTTCACCTTTCTGTTTCAGAAAAGCCAAAGGAAAAAAAGAGTTATCAAAAACTTGAGTTGCATAATACAGTTCAAACTGTTTGTGACAGGCAGCTTAATACAGAGCATTTACTTCTGCTAAGTAGGCTGTTAATGGAAGAAGTATTTTTCCAATGAGGAAACTTGAATAAGCAAATATACTAGTGAAATGGTAATAGAGGCCAGCATTTTAATAAATACATTTTCTTATCTACATGTCACCAGATGAAAAGACGTTATGAAAAACTATCACCAGATGAAGCAAGCATGCAAGTCTTCTTAATTGAATATGACAGATGCACAAGATCTGCAAATTCAGCACAAGGACATGTGGTGCCAAACTATGTTTTTAAGTGCTTGCATACAATTTTATGCAGTAATAAAATATGCTATCACTATCACAGGCAAAGCTTATGGCTGGATATGTATTTTTACAGTTCATAATACCACAATTTTGGAAGTGCTCCACTTCTACATAATTGCAAATAAACCATAATCACAGAATAAATAAAAATTATAACCCACCCAGGACATGGAACCACTTTTAGCCTTTATTTCTACAGTTTCTTGTACATACCATTTCCATAATAGATCTAACCATAGAGTTCAGAGCTTCTGTCTAAGAGGAACTGTTAATGTGAGGACCAAAATTTAGAAAGGTTTATTCTGGTCCTTGGAGTATTACAGCTAGAAATGTTCCAAGCTTCATTTATCTCAATCTGATATTCAGCTACTACTGCAGGCTTTTATGCAATAATACTGCTCTACCCACATGACTCTCCCCAGTTAATAAATCCTGTTCTGTAATGTGTAAGAGATTGTCTGCAGAGACAAAGGCTGGATATGCAATCACCATCCATCACAAAGAACATTCGCCTGTTTGGGATCAGCCTGACTACTGCAAATGGACTGGCTTCAGCTAAAAATAGAAAATGAGCCTCTGAAAATGGTATCTTGACTATATGGAGGTAAAACTCTTCCTTGTTGTGCCAGTTTGTGGCTCCATTTCTCAAAAGTTCCCAGGCAGTTTAATTATAAAGTTCAAAAGTTTCTCCACTGGCTTATTTTCATGGCCTAGGAACCCCCTGAAATACACTCCTCGTTTTCATACACAAACAAGGAGCTTACAGACAGTCTTTTTCCTGCTCCAGAGAGGGGGAACAGCCAAGGGGCTGTGCAAGAGTCAGAGTGGGTTCAGCCAGGTGAAACAAACTTGTCCTGGCTCTGCTCATGCTGCACATTGACTGAGTGCCCACCTCCCCAGTGCCCCCAGTAGGGGAGGGGGCTCAGGGAGGTGTGAGCCAGTCACACACAGCTCATGTTTGCTCCTGCCTAGCAGGGGGGTAACACATTCACAGAGCATGGAGACTCAGCAAACAGCCCTGGCTGCCTCTGCACAGAGAGCTGCTCAAATGTCTGTGCTCATGGTATACACAATCCCTAAGGATGCTTGAGAGCTGACCATGCATAAGGACGTGTAACAACAACAAAGATCAGAGTTTTCTGGTACTGGCAGTTCAAAACAGATCATTACTGACATCTGAATACACCACTCTGTGCCAGTGACTCTCTGCCCCACCATTTCCCTTTTAAAAAAGAGCCACAAGTGAAGTGACAATACATTTTAGATGATTTCCCAGCTGTAAGGATATGACCATTCTGGAACACAGCTCCAGATCATATGACAACAGAACTGCCTACACATTGCTCTAGGCAGACATACTGGAAAGGATTCCTAGAAAGAAGTCTGTCAGGCTAGGTGTGCTTCTCAGAAACTTTTTGGCTTACCTCCTGGATGTGTTGCTCCAAATGACTGATCAATTTGTTCTATGGTTGGAGCAATTGCCTGAGAGTTAAAATGGACACCACTGAAAAAGAAAACAGAGTTAATCTGCCTGAAGGAAGCCAAACAGATGCTACAAACATTTACTAATGGCAATACCACATCTAAATTTTAAGAAGTCTCCAAGACTGAAGAGTAAACTCGTAATTTAACTGAGTGCCATGTTCAAGAAAGGATGATTATGCACACTCCTTCATGACAGCTATTTTTGATTTTTAAAATGAATAATAGAAAAAATGCATTCAGGACTTTAAAAAAGTGAGTAAAACCAGCCACTCTAACCAAGAGGAAATCATGGGAGGTCTTAAACCACTTACCAATATTTTAACTTCACCTTAGTCAAGTCATAAACTTCAATCACCTGAAACACAGGAAACAGAAACATTGCTATAGTTCAGATACTTGCAAATCATTACAGAGATAAATCCTTGTCAAAGGGCAAGACTAGCTAGTGCTGCTTGGTCCCCTTCTTACAGAACTCTGCCATTATAAACCACAGTGTCAGAGATCAAACTTCAAAAACTGACTCAACAACTGCACATCTGAAATAAGGGCTGAACAACCCTGGGTTCAGGAGAGAACCCCCATACCCCATGTATATCAGCATTGCCTGCAGGAAGAAATCCTGTCACTGACACATCAGGATCATGATTTCTACAAAGCTTACTCAAACAAATTCAAAGGAAAGCAAGGATTAGCTAATTAGGGAATCCTCTGATGAATGCCAATGGGCCATTCCCTGGGTTGCTCCTATTACCCTGAAGAATGCCCGTGAGGGCACAAAGGCCTTACACTGACTGCACTGCTGTAACTTTCCAGCTCTTCTAAAGTAAAAGATGAACACATCAAGGCTTAGCAGTAATATCCCATTTCAATTATAGTTTAGGTATCTTGCAACCTCGCCAAGCATTACAGAAGACAATCAGAAAAACAGCCCATGAGGAATCAGGGCAAGCAGTAATATCCAGTTCTGATATTCAGAAATGCTTTAAACCTCACTGAATATTCCAAGGAGATTTCCTCTCTGCAGAAAATATAAGCTATGGATCCTTTGTTCTGAATACATTACTGCAAACATGCATCTGAGACTGGTATCATATGATTTTTATGACTGCCAGTGGATTTTGAGGCTATACTGGGCTTTAAGCAGATGATTTTTGGCAAGGAGCCACGGAAAAACACAAGCTTCTTCCAGCTTACATACATGTCCCTGTGTCAGCAGGAAAAGAAAACACACACAGCTCATAACCACCATAAAGCAAAGGTAAAACATGATTTTTGTTTTGTATAATCCTCCAACAAATAATTGGCAGATTCTGGCAGGACGCACTCTTCAGCAAGAGAATAAAGCAGAATTTCCCAGGGAGCTTGCTACCAAGTGTGGCTTTAAAACCTAAAAATATCACCAGCTGAGGAGGAAGTCTTGGTTTTGGGAGATGCCCAGCAAATAACCCTAAATAAAACAACTTGCCATGTTTAAACCACTACTTCTATATATATTTAGAAAAAAAATAAATCAACATTTAATGGCATTTCAAAATATAAGCAACAAGTAGGGCACAAAGCAAGTAACAAATTAACATTTTGGCAGAACCAACAAGACAACAAACATCCTTCTTCTTAATAAAATACACTTGGAATTATGCTTCTTGGAAAAACCTAGTTATCTAGTATTTTAATTCAAGTGCAGTTGACAGGTCCAGATTTCCTTCACTGTTAAAGCCTATTAAAAAACAAAGGCTACTTTTATGAAAAGCTAGGACTGATTTTACTGGTTTTTTTAGTGCTCTTGCACATCTTTTCCCTCCACAAAATTTTTTCTGAAAATAGAGAGAACCAGCCCCACCCCAGATTTTGTTTTGCAGCCACTGCTGTGTGCACTGGGCACCCTCCTGAAGTTCTACCAAAACTGCACAGTGCAAGACAGAAGGATGAGCTGAACACCAGGAGCAGTGCACAAAGAACTGCAGGGGCACAAATGTGGTTCCCCCCAGGAGAAACACCCTGACAGCAGCCAACAGGCACCAGTTTGCCAACAGTCCTCTTCCCAAAACTCAAACAGATCAACTCAAATCAACATTTCTTTTTACCAACAGCAGAGGAATAAACAAGTAAAACCTAGCAAAAATTAATGGCAGTCAAAGGATCTCATAAGTCATGAAACTCACAATGAAGACTAGGCCAGAGCACTTGAAAAAAATTCTTCTCTAAATTAAGCAGCTACACTGACAAAAGGACCAGTGTGATTCTGTGTGCAGAGAACATTCACTGAGACCAAGGACTGTTCACTGATGGGTTACTACACAGTTGCTTTAAATGAGTAAAAGCTGATGTTTCCTCACACTCACTGTTTTGATAATTACTACAAAGACTTACAAAAATGTTCAGGTGTCTGTTACCAGCAATAACAGACCAATGCTATGAAAGCCAACTCTGTCTCCACCTCAGAGGGAGAACACATGAGAGACCTTAATGCTAAAATTGCTTTCAGAATCTGGTCCTGGATCTACCAATTCACATCAGCAACATCTCCTGCAACGCTCTGGCTACTGAAGGTGTCTTTCCCCTTCTCCCTGAAAAAAGGGAGGAAACTTCTTAGGAATATTGCTGACTTAATTCCTGCACCAGCTTCCTTGGAATTGCCAAGATTTTCCATCTTAGTAGCCTATATTTCAATCTCTTTCACAGTCAAATTTATTAGCAAGTGTGTATTAAAAAAAAACACACACAAAGAATAAAGGCCTCCTGATTTTTCCAGTTTTGCTGCTGCTGAGCAACACTGAAAACACAGTCACACCCTCTTAAAAACAGGCATTGTTTACTTTACACTACTGTATCTTTTTACAAGTGCTGTTGCTCACTTCTGAACTGATCCCATTGAATTTCTTCTAGAAAGCTTTCTGGACACTTTTACAATTATGAGTTTTCATAGCACTGTATGCATTTACACAGCTTGACTATTCATAGTTCAAACAGAAGTATCATTAGACCACTGAACCACAACAAAATAGAAGAGATTGTTTCAAAAATAAAAATAATACAGGAAAAACAAACCTAGAAACACATACCAGAAGAGTTTGGGGTTTCTATTTTTTTCTTTAAAACTAGTTTTTAAATACAGACAAGCATGGATAAAAAGGCAAGAAATACAGAAAGGCAAGAAAAGCACTTGCTTGGTTCTTAGCACACTGGGTGTGACAAAATCAGACCCTCAGAAACTGGAGATGAAGATACATGGCATACATTGCTTACAGCACCTCAAAACCACTACAGGATTGCAACATTCCCCAGAAAAGCCAGTCAGCAAGCCATGTACTTGAAATGATTATGCCAGCTTTGAATTCAGTCTCCTGCAGAATTACATCCAGTTAGAAAGATTCCATACAGCTGACAAAGAATTTTCAAGATATTCTCTTAAAAACTGTGGATCCACATACACAGTCTGAATAAGTAAATTCAAAAACTTGTTAAAAACAAGAATACCATTATTATAGAAAGACTTCATGAACAGAAACTACCATAAGGCAATTACAATTACAAACAGAAATGTGGGGGGAAAAGTGCTCAGTTGAGCTCAGCTGAGCTCAATTTGAACTGAAAATTTTCTTCAAAATATGTATTTTTATAATATAAAATTTTTTAGAAAAATACAAGCATACCATGGTGTTACAGCCTATTCTTAGAGAAATAAGTATTTTCAACAAATAATCTGGGTTGCTATTCAACAATTTTTTTATATATATATATATAGCTTGAGTTTCAGCTGATATCACATGCTTCTCTCCTACAGTAATTTTTGGGATAAAGCAATGGCTAAACTTTGGAGGGGGTATTTTTCTGCTGGTTTTATTTTAGATGTGAGTAAAGGGCAAAGGGCTCCACCTACCACTGTTCCAAACCCTGCAAGTATGGATGTGAGCACCATATTCCAGACTTACCTAAACTGTAAGCATTCAGTTTTTTACTATCACACTTAACTCCATACTTCTGCTTTCACGTGTCAAGCAGCACAGCAGTTAGAGCAGCTCACTCTCACCCAATTAGCCAAATCAACACCTGAACACTTCTGTCACAGAGAAATTGACACCCACCAGGTGAGAATCAGTGAGAATTATTCAGCACAGCTGCTCTGGCTGAAAGGACCACTCTGAATAACTAAGGAGTTACACACAGATATTTTAAAGGCTTCAGTTAAGAGGTTTTCAAAAATTTATACCCATGTAGTCATACCTCTACACTTGCTCACTTTGTATGGATAAAAAATACCCCTTCCATTACAGATACCTTGCAAGGATAAATGCCATGAGAAGGCAGTGACCAGCCTGCCTTTTATTTTGCATCTTAACTACACTAAGCATCCTTGAGAGATGCACATCAACTCTTAGTCACTTAAAAGCACAAAAGCAGAACTGGAGACATCAATTGCAAGAATCAAAACCCATCCAGAACAAACTGGAGTCAGTGCAGGAGCCAACTGCTGACCAGAGGGCTGGATGTGGCTTCCTGGGGAGAATCACACACTCACAGCCACACAAGTACTCTGCAAAGCTAGCTAAAATGAAAACTAAGAATAGGAGGAAGTTTAACTTCATAAATAAAATGGCAGCCTAGATAAAGGAATAACCTGGCCAGAAAACAAGACTGTCTGGTTTGCATTAATGATGATGTGATTTCAAACCCAAGGCTCAGCTTTAGTAAGGGCCTTGTGCACTTTCTGTGCCACTCAAGACAGGATGGGTGAGGCCACACTGCACCACCACACTTCTGTAGCACTTGTACATCCCCAGAGCACAGCTAAGGTGTCTTACTTCCAGAAACAAAGGTTTAAATCCCAGACTGAAGAAATGCAGTTCACAATCACAGCAGAGCACTCTACATAACACAAATTAAATGTCTACAGGAGCCACTTATGCTCTGCTAAGTGTCAATACATCCCAGGGTTTTGGTGTGCATTGTCTGCTTGCAGGAGGGGTGTTTTATTACCTTAAGTCTCTGATTGAAAGCATCAAACAGCAGTTTGATTCCATCCTGAGTCAGGTTAAGGATGAGGTCATGGCTAAGAGGTGACTGTAAAAGCAAAGAAAAAAGCTGTTAGGCTTCTAATTTCAAGAGTTCTTTAAGATATACATCACTGTAAAAGTATAAATTGGTTACTTTAGAACAACAAAACTACCTCAGAAAACAATCACTTGTTCAATGAATAAGCATAACTAAAATACATTTGGCCAAACCTCTTAAACCCTTCCATTTCCTTATGAAAAGAAATAGAAGTGCCTGTATAATATCTGTGCCCTGCAAAAACTCCTAAGAGTACTTTGTGCACTACTGTAAGTGGGGGGAAAAAAAACCCCAACAAAACTCAAAACAATACAACTCCCACCCTCATTTAAAAAAAAGAAAAACAAACAAAACCCCACCTTGAAAATTAACATTCCCAGTTTAGCATCAGAGATTTCATCATCTAGGGACGGCCTCTGTTTCATTCTTGGTGCACAAAAATACCAAGGCTCCCATCAGACCCAGGCATGTGCTTGACAAAGAGATGGCTTTCCACTTCAAAAATCAAACTGTCACAGTCTTTTTCAGGCATCAAAAGGAAGGCTTCAGACTCTCATGTTGTGAATTTAGGTTTCCTTAGTTACTGTGAATCATAACAACTAAAGGCTTAATTTGCAGTCTGCTGGAGTCAATAGGAGACATTCCTCTGGCTTTGCTGGTGTCTGTATAGGCTCTACACCCCCCCAGTCTGCTGGGGAAGCTGCTCCCTGCTCCACCAGGACAATGCACACAGACACAGTCACTTGGCCCCAGTTCAGCTTTTTGATCATGTACCATCTAAAGCACTTTTGCTTCAAAATGCTCTATCCCCCACAGCTGTCTCAGAGGAGAAAAAAGGTTGAATGGCAGGCAGGCAGCAAGATTCATGCCCTAGAACTGCACCAGGCAGTTTGCTAGCTAAAAAACAGAATGGGGATGGACAACTGGGGTAAATAAAGGCTTCTGAAGTGGACAGCCACACCATAGAGCCCTTTCATGAATTAAGCATAAGCTATCTTACTTTGCTCTACTCAGAGGAGCTCTGGGGTTTGACTGTCAAAAGCTCAATTCTCATCCGCAATTTCCTCACACCAGCACTGTCTTCTAGCCTTGACACTTTCTGAGCATTTCCATGTGCATGTCCCACCCCTTCCCAAACCATACAGCCAAGTAATCAGGTCCTAGACCTCACATCACACTAAGTTAAAATAAACCATGGGGCTTTCCATCCCCTGTGATGCAGATTTCCTGTTCCCCTGGATCACTGCAGCAGCTTTTCCTGAAGCTGGTCCAGTTTGAGCCCATCTTTCCTGAACACCAGTGAGCTGCTGGGTCAACTCTGTCCTAAATGAAACTTTCACAACATTTCACACAATGCCATCAACTGATGGCACCTCACTCTTGCTGACAAACTTGTATGGCTCTGTGTAGAACTGAAGCAGCACTGCAACAGAACTATAAGCTTGAGATAAAAAGGCCTAATGTTGATCATGACAGTCATTTTCTAATCCCTTATAAATCTAATTTAGAAAGGCTACAGACAGAGCAAAAAAACCTTGTAATCTGGCATTCAAATACACCAGCTGAGTTGTTCTGCTATGGGATATGCTCTGCATTTCATTGGTTTCTAAATAGTTTCCATAAGGTTATTCCAAAATTAATGAGAGCATTACAAGTACTTTTGAGTGGATGGAAAAAAAACCCCAAACATCTGAGGAAAAGCTTGATAATTAGTACAGCAAATAGCTTCTGTTCTATGCTGGCATATTTTCTAATACATGGAAAGATTCAAGGGCACAAATTTAGTTCATGTGACTTTCAATACACAAAACAGAACCTCAAGTATGAAAGATGATGCCAAGAAGCAACAGGAGAGACCTTCCTGAAGGAAGCACCACAGATCTGCAGTTATATTGCTGATCTACACAAAGATGCAGGAAAAACTGTTATCACTGAACAATCCCATCAACCACAATCCAGAGGAAGAAGCTCAGGAAAACAAAGGCAATTATTTTAGGCAATTAGGCAACCCCACTTAAACTGACCAAAAATGAGTTAAAATTCTCTTATTCACAGAAAAGGATTCATCAAGCTTTTTTGGCACAGTTTGGGCATCCCATTTATGTCAAGTTAAAGAGAACACCGCGGGCAGATCTAATTGCATTTAATTGCCATATAAATTTTTGAAAGGAAATACTCACTGCTGGAGTTCCAGGATCAGAAATTCAAATTTAGAGATGCAACAGCTTTAAATAACATTTGATCACAGTGCTCAAAGGCATTCTTTTACAAGGCAAAGAGGAAAAACATGAAGGCTGTTCAGGTACAGTTTTTTGAGACAGAAGTTGGGCATGGCAAAGTTAATTTAAGGCTTTGAATCTTCTAAGAACTGAGCTCTTTGTGCTCAGCTGCTAATGAAATGCATGACACTCTGCACAAGGGTGAGGACAGAGCCAGACAGTCAAATGCAGGCCCTGAGTGGTGTGTGAAAAAAAAATAGCAGGCAGTGAATTGCAATAATATACAGGAAAAAAAAATAATCATCAGAACTATTCCAGAGAGATGGGAAGAAATATTTTGTTAGACTATGCAGGTGCTAAAACATCTTTACACTTGTTACATTTTGGGGAAAAAAACCCCAAACCACTAAACCTGCCCTCTGCAACGAGAATAGAAGAAGTTTAGTGTACACAGTCAAGAACAATGTAACCTTCCAAGAGGTGTAAAAAACCAAGGAGTGGTACACCTCTGTTTGCTAGCACTGAACCACTAATCCTTCTGTGATTCTACAATCTGAGTGGAACTGCAATCTCATAGGAATCTCATCATTTATCCAAACAACTCTAGAAATAATTCAAATGCACTGTGGCAAGAAAAACTAAAACCCTACAAAGAATACAAAAAAACAAGGAATGTGCTCACTGCCAGATGGATGCTCCCATGCATTAAGCACAAGGAGCCAGATTTGCAATTCAGTCATCAGAAAACCCATAAATCCACATGAAGTGATAAAAAAAAAAAAGATAATTCATTTAGTAACATGAAATATGTATCCAGCACTGAACAGCAGAGTCAAGGTTGTTCTTAGCCATTCAGTACTCACTGCAAATGCACAAGGCCCAAATCCTTGTTTTGATACAAACTAACATTGTACACACTCTGCCTTTTTCCTGATGCAAAGAGCTGTAATTTGCAACATATGAATATCATCATCTTATTAACATGCATTGCACATAAAACATCTGGAGAGTCCCTTGAGACATCTGAGAGTCCTTTGTCCTATCTCCCCTTACACTTCCATCAGAATAACACATTTTACGTGATCTAGCAGAAGGGTTTTACTTCTTGATGGAAGTCAAACATATCAGGAACTTACTGCTGAGTTATGAAAAATGATTAAAACATTTATAGCTGGCTTAAATCACTGCACCCACTTTCTGCAGACAAATTTGCAGATGCAGAGAAAAGGTGCAGAAGGTTTTTCATGGGGCTCATCACCACTGGACCAAACACAAAAGCAGAAAATAACGAGTGATTCAGTTCTTTAAATTGCAGCACCACTTCACAATGATAAAGCAAATAGACTAGAATTAAATTGTCCAGCTAATTACATAACATTTCACTTTTTAAAGGGAAAACAATGCCACTCCTCCACTGCATGTACAAAACTGACAGTCATTAAATCACTACTGCTGTGCTGAGGATTATTACATCTGACAAGAAACTTATAAGAGCTGCATCTCTCACGTGGTGGTGATCATTTGGTGTAGCTCAATTTCAAGCAGCCCCACAACTCTCCCCAAAACGTACAAGAGCACAAAGGATGTCTTCATTCAGCATGAGGAGCCCTTCCTGGGCAGCCCATGCCTGCTCACCTGCTCGCTGTAGAGAACCTGGACGTTTTTGATAATGCGACAGTGTTTCTGAAGAATTGCTACAGCCTGAGCCAACGGCATTCCTGGAAATAAAAACAGGTTTTCTTCAGTGACAAACCAGTTCACAAAGGTTTTTGACAGCAAGGTTACACATGAGGTAACCAAGCCACCATCAGCAAATACTGAGTTACAACAGAAAGGTATGTGGTCAACAAAGCTGATCTGACTCATCGTATCAGCACAGACCTGGTGTTTGGAAACAGAAAAGTCTTTGTTTGTCCAGCAGTTGTTAGGCATATATGAAAAAAAGTCTCTCTAGACACAAAACGAAACAGCAAAGTTCAAGCAGAGAGAGCAAGGAGCTTGCCACAGCCTGTGCACAAAGTTTTCTGCTTTTGGGGGTCATCAGTCCAATAAGTGATAACATAGCCCATCAAACTGATAACATAGCCCATCAAACTGATAACATAGCCCATCAAACGCCCCTAGAGCTGGCTAGGGCACTCCTACACACATTCAATAGCTCCTGAAACACCTCCTGTTGCACACTTTATCAACCCTGGTGGAGCACTGGGCACTCACACCAGACACAGACAAACACTAACACAGAGCAATGATTCCCCTCCAACCCAAGAGGCCACATTAGCTGCTGATATGGCTCTACTTGTGTCAAGGAAGAAACTTTATCTTCTCACTTTACAGACAGGATATACATACTAAAAATTTAGTTCAATTGAGGCAGTACACTTACAGTCACTCAGCCCCTCACACAATTTCAAGGGCTTTTTTTTTCTTTCCTTAGTGTACATCTTATCTTTACAATTATATATTTTTGAAAGCAGAATGGAACAGCCGATTCTGCAGAAAAAAATAACACCACATCATCTCATCATTTATCACACTAAAAACCTTTGTTGCCTTTCCAAATGAAATGTGATCACATTCCTGGGTTCAAAGCAGGCATTTATAAAGTGAGGTTATGAGCTCATAATTGTGAAGTTTAATTTTCCTACTAACTGCTGCAAGTCAATTTAGATTTGTTATCTGACATTTTATTTCCATTCCTTGCCCTATCCTTTTCTAGTTCTAGTTCTTAAATGTTAAGAAAGTTGGCCTGATTAGGCATAATTTACCTCTGAACCTACATTTATTACATTCAAAACTTTTAATTACTTGCTACACTAACCAAACTCAGACAATATGTCATGTCCTTTTAAACATTATCTACTGTATTAAAGTGAGAAAACTCTCTTTTCATGTATATCTATTTATAACATACACACCTAGCTCACCATGGGTACTGCTTTAAAGTAATAATGGCATAACACTGAAAAAAAACCCAAAAATATAATTTTCATTGTCACACCCATATATTGCAGCTTTGCTGAAATGATGAAATCAAGTTTTGGTAAAACAGATGTACAGATTAGAACTACAGTGATTCAATTTGCAAATGCCACATACAAACCTATCTGCAAAGCTGGTTTTCACCTTAGCCCATAATCTTGGGGTCAATTTGGTTTACAGCTAGAAATTATACATCAGTAGATGATATTAAATTAAAAAGAGTTATTATTTTAATAACAATAATGAAATTAAAATGCAGAGCCACACAATAAAGCAGCACTGTTTCCTATTATCTAGGAAATAGCAGTTGCCTTGCAGTCTAGGCAGCAGAGTTTGAAGATGACAGTTATTATGTATTAGATAATATTTTAAAATGGAATAGAAACATGAATAGTAGCAAGAAGCTAAGATCAAAGATGCTGCTGTAGAAGTTCCACATTTCTCAACCTAGCAAAAAGTATGAATACAGAAAAAAAAAAAAAGTAAGGTTGACTAAAGAGTACAAAACCCACGTTCTAAGTCAGTATCCACAAGAGCTGCAGACCATGGGCTCAGTTAAAACATAAACCAGTGGCACAGGCTGACAGGACCCAGGGGCCAATGGTGCCAGCAGCCTGTGGGGATTCAGTCAGAAAGCAGCCAGCTCAAGAAGTGCAGAAACACCAAGTTCACCTACACTGATGCAATCCTGGGCTGCTAAGTGTGCAAACAGATGGCTCATGTGACTCTCTTACTCACAGCTTTCTCAGGCTGCAAGCAAATGGACATGGACTGCCTTGGTCCAGTTTTCAGCCACTGAGAATCAGATTTGGCCATGCAGCTGCTTAGCAGAGCTACAGCGAGCAACCCAAATTCTCCAGGAACAGTTCACAGGACCCAAAATGTGTTGAACAGCCAATATCCTCCCTTTGCCTCCATTTGCTTCTAGAAAGTCAAAGGAGGAATAAAAAAATGGGTTATTTTTCTCCAGTCTTCTCACACACAACATCCCCTTTTTCCTCAACATTCGTCAGCCTTTGCAGTCAAAGAGGAAAACAAAGAATTCTTTTTCCCTTGCTCACCAGTCAGGGGGAATGGGGAAGCAAACATGGTTTCCAGCACATCAGACAGTGAACCAAACTGAGCCATGGCAGTAATGCCCACAAAGACCAGTGCTAGGGCTCCTCTGTCACAGACCTTCCCTCTCCTAAATGCTGGAGTGATACAAGCAGTTCTCTCACATACACTGGTCAGGAACATAACATGGCTTGAAGCATCAGCCTATGCTAAAACTGTGTGGCTTGAAGGGATGGGGATAGAGAAGTGAATAAAGATTAGGAGAAAAATAAAAGAAAATCTAAGATAAATCATAAGGCATTAAATAAATATATGTGATATTCAGTAGAAAAAGAAAGTATAAAGCCCAGGAGAAATATAAGTATGCCTTAGAAATTATACATCTCAAACACTAATAATATAGCTATAGGCACTACAGAGTATTTAATTGTTCTCCTTTAAAACAGCAGGAATGCAGCCCAAGAGGTACAGTGGCACAGGTATCTAAACTCAGTCTCAGTTAATTTTTTCATGCTCTAGTCATAGTGAGTCAACACTGGAGCCAGAAACAGCATCCAAAAAGTCATGTACAAAATTTTCCTGGCATTTCCCCTCAGTCATCTCCATTGTGGGCACAGTACTGGAAGCCAGAGTCAGCAGCAGTTCAGGAATACTGCCATTAGTTCTGCTAAGAGCAGAGCTAAACAAATAACGAGTGGAACAGGGCTGGCAGTGAGAGCCCCACTGACAGCAGCACTGCCTCAGCTGGAGCAGCTCTGTCAGCAGGGACAATCCTCACACACCACTGCTGCTGCAGGACACTGTCAAGTATCCTCAGACCCAGGCAGCCTCCTGCTCTGCACCAGCAGGTCATGCTAATTATATATTAGACACATCACGTGGTGGCTATGTTTACTCCAAGAAATACAGCTGAGTTTCCTCCTCTCACATCTATGCATGTGTGTGTTTGTGCACACACACAGAGACACTGGAAATGTTAACCATGAGACTGCACTGACAGGCTTTCCTTGGGAAAAGGAAGAACATTTTCTCTTTCCCTTTCTTGTTTTGATATGGAGAATGAAGGGGAGCTGGTACTCTGTATTTATGCAGACAGTCAGGGTAGGCAGCTGGAGGTTGCTTTTCCCCAGGTAACACAGGCACTAAAGGATGGCAGAAGGTGACACAAGCTGAGAGCACAGGACATTTAGGGTACAAGGAGTTCACCCAGATTTCCAAGGGTGGGACCTGGGGTGCTATAATTAGCCTCCAGAAGCCACCGAGCCCTGTCTGTACCATCAAGTTGTACTTGACTGAAGGCACAGCAGCACAAACAGCCCTTTGTGTTTGATGAGTTTCACATAAACAACCTCAAGGCACAGCACCACTCCTTAGGACCAATCTAGTTCAGGGCAACTGTGTAACAGTGTCCTTAGGAACAGTGTCTGTGCCCTGGCTGCCACAGGTCACAAGAGCAGCAGCCCGAGTGAAACTCGGGTTCAGGCAGGCACAGAGGGTGACACACAGGGCTCGTTTACACCCACCAAACCCCCACCGCCAACAGCTTCACACAGAGCTGCAGCAATGATGCAAAACGGAAATGAAAGAGGCCAACACTGGTATGTCACACAACCACTCGGCAAAGGTGACATCTACAGCACTTTCTGAGAGTTTTAAGGACTACCAATATCTACTTGAAAACACAGGTCACCCAAGGAATCCACATCATCCCATTTCAACTGCTCATGTAAGTGTCCTGCCTGAGCACCAGCCAAATTTGCATCAGCTGAGGGAAAGTTCTTTCTCATCACAGTAACTACAGCAATAACTGGTAGGGAAGGGCTACTCAGCAAGATGAAAAAATACAAGTGATTGGGGGGAAAAATACTTGTTATCCAACCCCGAGAAAATATCTCCAAAGTTTACTTTCTTCACTATTTCGCAACCCAACAGCGACACAAAGAAATTGTGAAACTCGACTCATGTTTATGAAGGGTTTGTACAGAAAAGCACAGCAGTTAGAGCAAGTATCACCTGACACATATTCAGGTGACAATCAGCACATTCATGCTTCCTCTTTTCGGAGTTATTTAAAAGAATGACTAGTCTTACACGGCAAGACAAAAGAAAGCAAACGAGCAGATGAAAGCACACAATCAGATAAACAAAGCACGAGCTGGCACGCAAAAGCTAAAGGTGAAACTATGAACTACAAGGAAATCCTTAAAGCTCGTACTCTGGAATTTTTAACGATAGCGAAAGGCGAGCTTTGCCTCTCGCTCCCTTTTTTCTCCCCAGCTCTCCGAGAGCGCTGGGAGAGCCCCTACGGACCCGCAGAGCGCAGGCCGGGGGTAGAGCACACTTACCTAAGGTGAACTCCCATTGCTCGTTCCCCAGAGAGCGCTCGGGCACCACCTCCAGATCGAGCATTGGCTCCGGTAGCGCGGAGGCCGCGGGCTGGCACGGCGGTCACCGGGGCGCGGCGCCGGACCCCTGCGGAGGGACGCGGGAGGGAAGCGCCGGGGAAGCGGGCAGCCCGAGCCCGGCCCCGCCACCGCCCCCTGAGGGGACCGACCGGCCGCCCCCAGCCCCGGGGCAGCGCCGGGCACCGCGCCGGGCTCCGGGGGAGGCGCGGGCGCCGCCGCTGCCGCCGCCGGCCGCCCCTCCCCGCCCCGCGGCCCCGCCACCCGCGCCCCCCGCCCCGCCCGGTGCCGGAGCGCGGGCGTTGCGGGCGTTGCGGCCCCGGCGGGGAGGGGGAGCGGGCACGGCGCCGCCGCTGGGCCCGGCCCGACCTGAGGGGCCGGGGGGGCTCCGACCCCCCCCGCGCCGCGGGGCCGCGACTCACCTCACTTGCGGCTGCTGAAAAAGTGCTTTGCAGCTGTCGTCAGGCGCGCCCGCGCGGGGGCGGGCTGAGGGCGGGGCCGGGGTGAGCCCCGCCCCCCCAGCCGTGGGCGAGAGGGGAAGGCGTCGGCTTGGAGAGCTGGAGATTCGGGTTCGAGTCCCGGCCCGGCCCTGTCGCCCCCGGCCCTACAGCAGCCTCAGTCTCACACCCAGGTAACTTCGGGATCCAAACCAGAATAACCCACCCAAAACACTGCCCACGGCCATCCCGCTCCTCCAGTTGAAAGGGCAGAGTGCAGGAAAGAAGAGTTAGGGAGTAATTAGTCATTGGCACGAGCAAAGTTCAGAATGAGCTTGGGAGTGACTCAGTAAGGAAGAGAGGAGTAACGAGGTCAGTGGCTTTGCTGTGTTGTCTGAGCAAACAAATAGTGCCACCCAAGAGTGCTGACCCCAGGAAAGGCCACATTTCCCTTGGGATGGGGCTCAGCACAGGAACCTGCTTTGGTTACACCCAAAGCCCCCAGGTGCCAGAAACATCCCCAGAACGAGGAGGAAACTGAACCCTCCCAGTCTGCCAGGATGTGCCACCACCTGGGACAACCCACAGCAGACCAGCCCTCCTTTCTATGGTGGAAACTTGATCCAAGATAAAAGGCACCAGGTCAAGCATTGCCCAAATAAGCAGAGAACTAAAAGAGAAAACCAAGGCTATGGGCCCGTGCCATGCTCACACAAAGTGACAGCTCTTCTGGAGTAGGGCAGCACCAGTGATGGAAATTCAAGAGGGTGCAGAGGGTGTGGAAGCAGCTGTAACTCCTGCTGCTGGCAGGCTGAGGCTCCAGGGGGGAGCAGAGTGGGGGGAGATGCATTTTTTCCATATTTATTTGAAGGTAGTAGCAATCCTAGCCTGATCCCACACCCCATCCCTGTGCCCACCATGTCCCAGCAAGGTCTGCAGCAGGGCAGCCCCATCACATGGACTGTCCCACAGCAAGACAGAAAACATCAGGAAAGCAGGATACCCTTCAGGCACCCCAACACAGAAATTTGAGGGCTGAATATTGAAAAAAAAAATAGTCAAACATAATTTCAGCCAGGTTTGTACTGTGGCTCCTTCCACAGGCAGAACAAGCCATGGCTGGCAGGGGGGATCAAAGCATTGAAAAGAAATCCCAGACATGTTTGGGAGCAGGACCCCAGCCAGGCTCTGCTCTGAACACCACATTTCTCAGCATCCCTCTTCAGGTCACAGAGCTGTCAAAGCAGGTGAGATTTTAATGTATATGGAGTGGAGCAAGCCCCAGGGAAATTAGTTTTCCCTTGAAGTCAGCTGCATGTTGCTCTATTTATTATTCATGCCTTGCTTGCTTTTTTTTTTTTTTTTTTTTTTTTTTTAATCCAAGCATGGTGACATCTTAATATGCTGAAAAGCGGAGAGGTGCTGCCAATGTTTCCCCTTCACTCCAGCCCTCTGACACATCTTTATTGGCTCAAAACCAGAAATTAGCCTTTCCTCTCCTGGGACCAGAGCTAATCATTATGAGCCGCTTGCCTCTCTCCAGCTCACTGTAGAGGTATGAAATATATATATATTTGTATATAGACAGTATTTGTGTGTTTTTATATGTAAGTTCATATTGTGACAGCCATAAGGAATGTACTTGAGAAAATAAATATGCAGCTAGAAGCTTTGCATGCCCCATTCATTTAACAGAATACAAAGCACAGCAGCTACTTTTGAGCAGGCCCATGGCAAGTGCAGCCCTCAGGCTGAGGTGCTGGTGGAAACAGGTGGCTGCAGAGCAGTTGGGCTTTGCAGAAACCCTTCTCCACCTCATTCCTGTGTTTGGTGATGCCCTTTGAATGCCCAGTGCTGCAAACTGGGGGATGCAACACTCTGGGCTTTGACTCACGAAGATTCGGCCTCCTTTGTAGGAGAGTATCACGAGTATCACAAGCCCAATTCACCAAGGAGAATAAAGGCCAAACACAATGCGGAAAAAAATTATTTCTGAGTGTGCCTCTCCCCTGCCACCTCTTTTCACACATCAACCCAAACCCCAGGCTAGGCGGAGAAGGGCTGGGCACTGCCAGGTCTGCCACTTTTGAGGCAGATTGGGCAAAGTACCATCGTTTTGGCAACTGACTGAATGAATGGCAGTGGGTGCACCCATCAGAGATGCTTCTACCAAAGCCTTGGGGTGAGATCAGCAGCTTTGGGGAATGAATCCCTAAATCGGTAAAAATCGGATTTTTACTGATTTTTTCTAAAATCTTTCAGAATTTTGTACTTGAGTTTTTTCTAAATTCTACACTTGTGGGGGAGATGTTTGCTGAGGAGAGCTGGGCTTTTCAACCCAGCCGATTAAAAAAAAAAAAGCAGAGAAAATTGCAGAAGCCACCAGGAGGGACAAGCACTGCTCGCAGGCGGAGGCGAGCTGCCCTCTCCCGATGGATCCCAGAGCAGCACACAATTCCTGCAGGGAAACCTGCCCCGTGGCTGCTCGGAAAAACGGGCTGGAAGCAGATCCCAGCCTTGGCAGCGCTGATTCAGCTGGAGGAAAGATATTTGCTGTAAAGCTCTGAAGTTGCTCTGATTTTTTGGAGGTGCGTTTCCTGCTGCCACGCTCTGGGCTGGCACTCGGGAATGGATCCAGACAGGGCTGGCAGCTCCACGAGGGAGCCTTGCCCTCTCCGAGGGGGGATTTTCCCACCTCCTCAGGGGCATTTATCCCACAGCCAGGGGTTTCGGGCCCCGCCGAGCTGGGCAGTGCCAGGCTGGGGTTCCCGGGCGGGCAGGGGCTGCTGCAGCACCGAACCCGAACCTTCCCAAGGAGCCCCCTGGCTCCGTTCTTCCCTGGCTCAGCGCTTTTCCCGTCCTCGCCTGGGCTGAGCACGCCTGCCCTGCCCTGCCCTGCCCTGCCCTGCCCTGCCCTGCCCTGCCCGGTTGGTTTCCAGTCCCCTTGGCACCCTCCGGAGGCTGCCACGGGCGGATGCGCAGGATCAGCGCTCAAAACCAGAAATGTTGCTGCTGCGAGGAGCTGCCGTGCAGGGCTGAGGGGCACAAGGTGCCTTTTCCACCGGGCCCACCCAGCCTCCAGCCTGTCCTGAGCCCTGTCCGGAGCCTCCCCGGGCTGCTCCAGGCCAGCATCCTCCTCCCTGCTGCGTGCTGGACTGTGCAGCACATCCACAATAAAGATTTTGGAGGTGATTCTGTGCTTGGCCAGGGGTAGGGAGGTGATGTGTGCCTGGCACGGGCTGTGGGGATCATGGCAAGGCTGCAGCTTGTCCTCAGCCAGCACCACGGTGATCTCCAGCATCACTTCTCACATCCCAGATTTGGGCTTCTGGCAGCTGCAGAAGCTCTCCTGAATTTCTGCACCGTGCTTGCTGTCTGGAGATGGGCAGGAACGGGAGGTGCCAGCGCTCACCCGAGGGTGCTGAGGAGATAAAACACCTTAAACACCGACCAGGCAGAGGCACAGGCCCTGCCCCACCACACAGGGCATTTCACAGGGCTGGGGCGAGGGCAGGGGCTGACATGGATGGGCATGGAGCATTCTCGAGAGGGAAAGGGAGCAGCAGCACAGGCTGGGGAGGGGCTGTTCGCCCCCAGGCAGCGGCTCCCCTGCATCCCCCCAGGGCAGCACTTTGTGTGCATTTCACAGAACTCCAGATCTATTTCAAAAGCTCCGATTCGTGCAGGGCTAGATCTAAACTGGCTTCGGCTTCATTAGAAACAGATGCGCTGGTTTCTCTCTCCGCCAGGCGCGGGCAGGGAGCGGAGCCGGGGGGCGGCGGGACCGGGGCACCGGGAATGGGCACCGGGGATGGGCACCGGGCATGGGCACCGGGGATGGGCACTGGGGATGGGCACTGGGGATGGGCACCGGGGATGGGCAATGGGGATGGGCACCGGGGATGGGCACCGCTCCTGCCCGGGTGGCTCAGCACGGAGCCAGCGGCCTCAGCAGCTGCTGCCAGGGACCGTCAGTCCTTCCAGGAGCCTCTGGCCGCTGCATCCTGCCCTCAGCTGCTGCCCAGCCAGGCACTTGGGGTTCTAATCATGGCTGGTGGGGAAATTTACCCTGGGGAAAAGCACAGGGATTCTGTAAAAAAAAGAGTAATTTAAAGCACATTTTTATGGGAAAAAAAAAAAGGTAAAAAATGGATTTGGGGATTCTACAGAATTGCTAAACCCCTTATTGCAAGGGTTTATGGATCTAGGAGTGCTGCACATGTGGCAGGGCTTTCACCTGAGCTCAGTTTCACCTCCAGGTATATTTCCAAAAGGGATGTTTGATTGTCACAGCTGATGATGAGGAAGGGCCATGGGGCATGGTGTGAGAAGGAGGGAGAGGGGTAGCCCCTGCACCAGCCTGCTCCAGCCCTGGTGCTTGGGGTTTCATCATTTAAAAGGAGATGAGTCAGAGCTGCAGGGGCCCTCTCAGAGCCCCTGAAGATCTGTGTCCATTTTGTCCCTGACTTCTGGTGAATGGGCAGCGAGGGTGTGACTGGGGTCTTACTCACAGGCTGTGGTGGACAGAACCAGCAGCAGAGATGCTCTCTGAGCCTCCTCCCAGGGCAGTGCCCCGTGGTCCTGCTGGCACATCCTGCCCCTGAGGCAGAGGTCTGGACGTGGAGAGGCTTTGCAGGAGCTGGTGCTGAGGCACCTTGCTGGGGTTGGTGGTTTCAGAAAGTCACGCAGCC